GTGTTTGTGTGTGTGTGTGTGTGTGTGTGTGTGTGTGTGTGTGTGTGTGTGTGTGAATGAGATTGTGTCACACAACCTGTGTGTTTGTGCCTCCCCTCCAAATAAGACACACAATAGGCCAGCAGATTCCCAAAAGTTGTCGCCGGCAAAATGCAAATCAGCAGACGTAGTTGTGTTCCTCCCCCGCCAGTGGACCGAAACAAATTAGCTAATTAAAACAGTGATGGCTAATTTGTGCCATTGCGTGGCCTAACACAGCTATAACTTTTCTGATGCTACATTATTTACTCGGCGTTACTCTGCCGCCGCCACCGTTTTGTTTGCATCCGGCACACTGCAGTGGCTCCTCCTCTATAAAACGGATGCTATTGAGTCTGCTTATTCCGCTTGCTTAATACGTTTCTGGCCCTTTACAACCGAAGATAACGTGTTGTGAAAAAAAGACTACTGGCTTTTCTCAATTCATGGCTGCCTCTTGAGCCTCTTTAACACAAGTTTTTTTCAGAAAACCAGTCAGTCGGTGCTCTCCTCGTACATCTGTCTCACCGTGCAATGTGGGTCATTGTAGTGTTGTGCCAACAGCTCAATTTTGTATCCGTACCTTTCTCTCAAGATGGGTGTGTGTGTATGCGTGTGCGTGTGTGTGTGTGAGAGACTGACTGCAACCAAAGTTGACTGCATCTTTGTCAGTGCAAGGCTGCAAGCAAAGTGGAAAAGATACACTTTTGCCATTTTTTGTTAAGGGAAACAACATTAAACGTGTGTGCATGTTGGGGGGGTAGTCTCTTGTGCGACAGCCACTGTGTCGGCGTCGGGAGCTCCTGCGAGAGTCCTTTGCCGAAGCGGAAGGAGAGTTTGTATTTGCCCGATTCATCGACTCGGACAACACGGAGACCATCGCAGAGTTCCTGGAGCAGTCTGTCCGAGGTTTCCATTTATTTGTGTGTCAGTTTGTGTGATGCCTCACACACCCTGACAACTTTGTGTGTGTGTGTGTGTGTGTGTGTGTGTGTGTGTGTGTGTGTGTGCGTGTGCGTGTGTGTGTGCGCGCGCAGACTCGTGCGAAGGCTTGATGGTGAAGACTCTGGAGAAGGACGCCACCTATGAAATCGCCAAACGCTCCCATAACTGGCTCAAGGTGAGCACGCCCTCCGTTCACAAGCCTTAACGGTCCAGAAGGTGACTGCTTTTACAAGGGACCCATAATAGCCATCCAGTGAATGCGGGTCAGGAGTCCTGCAGTGCTTCTTTCCCTTGGGAAAAAAATAGAACCAAAATTCTGCTCGAGTAGTCAGTTGCCACAAAATTCAATGGCCATGTCTGCAATGGAAAGGCGCACAAAAAGCTTGAAGGACTGTGGACGAAAACTATCCCCAGTTCCGCCATGTTGCTCCCAAAATGCACTTGTTGGCCATTTTTAGTGGTCTTCTGTCAAATTTGTCACATTGGCAACAGTACATTGCAAACTTTTTTTAGATTTCATCAATGAAATATTGGGAAAAACCAACATGAAGTCAACCACTTTGCTTTGAAAACTTCAATTTTCACTTCCGGCGGCGCTACATTAATGTAGCGCTTCTGGAGGAAGAAGCTGTTTCTTGTCAAATTTGAACTCGGTGTAATAGACCGATGGTTAGTTTTAGTTTTGAGATTTTCTACAATGGAAGCAAAAATGAGCAGGATGTCAGCCATTTTGCTTTGAAACAGCAATATTTAGTGTTTTTAATGATTATTATTATTTTTTTAAATTCAATTTAAATTCAATTTAAATTCACACCCAGTTAAAATTTGGCAATGTGAGCCGATCATTGCCAAATTTTAACTGGGTGTGATTGGCCACAGTAATTTGGCAAGCTTTTGAGACTCAACAATGAATGTGGGCCAAAACAAGCTGTAAGTCGGCCATTTTCCTCCAAGTTGGCTCTCCAAACACAATCGCGTTTGAATTACACTTGTCCGTTCCTCTCGTGGAGCAACATATAGTGCAAGCGCCATCCAATTATTTTTATACGGCCGACGAACGAGTCACTTTTTCATCATGTGTCCCTACCCCGCAGTTGAAGAAGGACTACCTGGAGGGCGTGGGGGACACGGTGGACCTGTGCGTTATCGGCGCCTACCTTGGCAAAGGCAAGAGGACGGGGACATATGGCGGCTTCCTGCTAGCCTGCTACGACGAAGACAACGAGGAGTTCCAGTCGGTCTGCAAGGTGTGGGACTAGCACGACGACTACGTTCAGCATCTGTGCTAATACGCCCCTACAGTAGTACCTCACCTCAAGGCTAAACCATTAGAAGTTCCGCTACAAAAGTTTTATTTCCCCTTTTCCATTTTGTGGTGCTTAGCAAACCAGTTAGGCCCGAATAAACGGTACACACCGCATTGCCTTTTATCTTTGCTTCGAGACTTAGCCACATCAAACTTTGAATTTCTTTTGTCGTTTTGAGGCAGCAAACTATCAAGGCCTGATGAAATGTTTAGGAAACGGGATCTATTCTTCCATTTCTTCATGTTCAATTTCTTCGACTTTCTTTTGGCGGTTGGTTGGTACTCTTGGTGCTTTACCACCACCTTCTGTTCACAGGGGGGGGGTGGTGCACCAAAAACTATTCGCCTCTCGCCAAAAGAAAGTCAACGTTGCTTGGAAGCAGGGATTTGGGTGCCAGTCCCAGCTCTAATTTCAATGTATACGATTCGCACGAGTACAAGTGTGACTTAATGTCCAGAAAATCTGGTAGTTGGGCCTTAATAAGGATCGAGAACAAGTCTTTGAAATCCACCTAAACTCGTTAGCCAAACCACGAAGTTCCGGTACTTCCAAGTCCCGTTTCGATTTCTTCTTTAGCCCATTCAGGCGGCAACCTAATTTGGCCAAAAATAATGCCACCCTTATAGTTTTAAGATCTGTCGTGTCCTTAAGAGCTACATACCAAAACTGCCTCATGATAAAATATTTCGCCTGATCCCATCCGTCTCGGCTTTGGCGATTAAACGGATCGTCTCGAATTTGGTCGATTACCTTTCAGAAGCTGTTGATGTGGCGCACTGCTTCATCTCTGTGTGTTTTCCGTTTGTTTGGATTTTGTCAGATGCGGGGTGTTTGAGTGCTTTTTTTCCTCTCCTCTGTATGTTTCTTTGGCTCTTGTACGTGTGGTTGTGAAGTGTGTAAACAAGCACCATGAAGCGTAGGTTCCCTCCCGTCTTCGTACTCGACCCCCCCCCCCCAAAAAAAACCAAAAATTTAATCCCCCCACGCCCTCCAGGTAGTCCTTCTTCAACTGCGGGGTAGGGACACATGATGAAAAAGTGACTCGTTCGTCGGCCGTATAAAAATAATTGGATGGCGCTTGCACTATATGTTGCTCCACGAGAGGAACGGACAAGTGTAATTCAAACGCGATTGTGTTTGGAGAGCCAACTTGGAGGAAAATGGCCGACTTACAGCTTGTTTTGGCCCACATTCATTGTTGAGTCTCAAAAGCTTGCCAAATTACTGTGGCCAATCACACCCAGTTAAAATTTGGCAATGATCGGCTCACATTGCCAAATTTTAACTGGGTGTGATTGGCCACAGTAATTTGGCAAGCTTTTGAGACTCAACAATGAATGTGGGCCAAAACAAGCTGTAAGTCGGCCATTTTCCTCCAAGTTGGCTCTCCAAACACAATCGCGTTTGAATTACACTTGTCCGTTCCTCTCGTGGAGCAACATATAGTGCAAGCGCCATCCAATTATTTTTATACGGCCGACGAACGAGTCACTTTTTCATCATGTGTCCCTACCCCGCAGTTGAAGAAGGACTACCTGGAGGGCGTGGGGGACACGGTGGACCTGTGCGTTATCGGCGCCTACCTTGGCAAAGGCAAGAGGACGGGGACATATGGCGGCTTCCTGCTAGCCTGCTACGACGAAGACAACGAGGAGTTCCAGTCGGTCTGCAAGGTGTGGGACTAGCACGACGACTACGTTCAGCATCTGTGCTAATACGCCCCTACAGTAGTACCTCACCTCAAGGCTAAACCATTAGAAGTTCCGCTACAAAAGTTTTATTTCCCCTTTTCCATTTTGTGGTGCTTAGCAAACCAGTTAGGCCCGAATAAACGGTACACACCGCATTGCCTTTTATCTTTGCTTCGAGACTTAGCCACATCAAACTTTGAATTTCTTTTGTCGTTTTGAGGCAGCAAACTATCAAGGCCTGATGAAATGTTTAGGAAACGGGATCTATTCTTCCATTTCTTCATGTTCAATTTCTTCGACTTTCTTTTGGCGGTTGGTTGGTACTCTTGGTGCTTTACCACCACCTTCTGTTCACAGGGGGGGGGTGGTGCACCAAAAACTATTCGCCTCTCGCCAAAAGAAAGTCAACGTTGCTTGGAAGCAGGGATTTGGGTGCCAGTCCCAGCTCTAATTTCAATGTATACGATTCGCACGAGTACAAGTGTGACTTAATGTCCAGAAAATCTGGTAGTTGGGCCTTAATAAGGATCGAGAACAAGTCTTTGAAATCCACCTAAACTCGTTAGCCAAACCACGAAGTTCCGGTACTTCCAAGTCCCGTTTCGATTTCTTCTTTAGCCCATTCAGGCGGCAACCTAATTTGGCCAAAAATAATGCCACCCTTATAGTTTTAAGATCTGTCGTGTCCTTAAGAGCTACATACCAAAACTGCCTCATGATAAAATATTTCGCCTGATCCCATCCGTCTCGGCTTTGGCGATTAAACGGATCGTCTCGAATTTGGTCGATTACCTTTCAGAAGCTGTTGATGTGGCGCACTGCTTCATCTCTGTGTGTTTTCCGTTTGTTTGGATTTTGTCAGATGCGGGGTGTTTGAGTGCTTTTTTTCCTCTCCTCTGTATGTTTCTTTGGCTCTTGTACGTGTGGTTGTGAAGTGTGTAAACAAGCACCATGAAGCGTAGGTTCCCTCCCGTCTTCGTACCCCCCCCCAAAAAAAACAAAAACTTTAATCCCTGCTTTTTACCGCTGTGACTTTTATGTCTTTATCCACGGCAAAAGGATTTGTGGCTGCAATACTGCCAGCAAAACACAAAAAAAACCCACACATACATTGATACCTGCCAAACTGGAGATTTCCAGTCATGGTACACTGAACAAGTGTGTTTGTTGACATTTTTATGACCAAGTTGTACTCCATCCACATGATATCTTGTCTGCGTTTCTTCCAGATCGGGACTGGCTTCAAGGATGAAGACCTGGAGCAGCACCACAAGTTCTTGAAGGTAAAGCCGAAGAGACGAGTCTTCGGTTCAACTCAGTTCACAGGGGTGTCAAACTCATTTTTGTCGCGGGCCACATTTAGCGACCGTTTCCCTTGGAGGGCCGTTATGACCGTGAAACCATATAAAATAAGTCAACTACTGCAATGAGCGGTTTGGTAACAAGAAAATGCTGACAATATCTCGCTTATTTATTACAACAGGGGTGCCCAAACTTTGTGGACCGAAGATCGACTTTTCGATCAACCAACCTCCCGCGATCGATCCATTAGCGCGCAGGCACATACACACGCACGCCATGATGAGCAACAGCCTGACACGGAGGCATGCGACGCACTTTTGCAGCCTGTTAACTATCGTAGCTCACACGTACCGTATTAAAATGCTTCCCTCGGCCCTCTAGATTCCTATTCTTTGCCCGTGCCCTCGGTGAATTGTGCTCTACAAGAAACAAACTGAAAGAGAATAATGATAACGATGAAAGATAAAGCGCAAAAGCTCTGATCACAAGCTACAATTGCAGACTGCTGAGCATTAAAAACTTCCGGTGACGCAGGTCACTTGCCACCATAGGTTAAAGATTTACCTGCTTTATTTTATTTTTAGTTTTTTAATACTTTTTGTGAAAATGAGACTGATAGGATGATGGGTGCAGTGTACGTTAACACAAAAAAAATATATTACTAACATGCACAAAGACACACAGATGATTGGTTGTTTTTTTTCTCCTGGACGCCCCTCGGGATCGACTTGGGACCAGTCCGCGATCTCCCGGTTGATCGCGATCGACGTAATGGGCACCCCTCTATTACAATATGAGAAGTTGAAATTTTGGGACAGTTTTTAGCAATCATCGTCGAAGTTAACATTTGATTTGCTTTCGCGGGCCACATAAAATGAGGTGGCGGGCCAGATCTGGCCCCTGGGCCTTGAGTTTGACACCTGCACCTTAGGTGCAGTAACTGGGGGGTTGGTGGGG